TGACCGAAATGCATGCATTTTGCATTACCAGGCAGCTTATTCAAAGTTTCAAACACAAAATATCCAGCGTTTACCGCACTCAGAAACTAATGGAGTAGGCCGGCGACTTGTCCGGATTGAACAGCCCAAAGTGGTTCTCTGTCGGGTCCCCTGTCTTCTGGTTCTCGTTGAACATGGCAAACATGTACGTCTCCAACGGCCCAGGCCTCTTGGGTGTGCCCCCGCCGACATGTTTGATCAACCCCTGGTTGTACGCCTGCGCGTTCTGCGCCGTCGCCCCGAACCCGCCGGCCGACGGCCAACCGCTCTCGGACACGACGACCTTCACCCCGGGCGTCTCGGCGTCCTCCAGCGCGGCGTAGATGGAGTCGACCATGGCGTCGAAGAGGTTGGTGTAGGTCAGACCGTTGCCGTCGTCGTTCACGGTGGTGCCCGGCGCGAAGGTGGCGTAGTTGAGCTTGATGTTCTGCGGGTCGCCCTTGTAGGCGAAGTAGGGGTACACGTTGACAAGCAGCGGCGCGCCGGTGCTCACGAGGAAGTCCAGGATGGGCCCCATGTAGTCAAGGTCCGCGAACACGCCGTTGGAGGGCGGGAAGGTGTCGGTGACCACGTCGAACCGCACCGACGTGGACACCTTGACGCGGCCGCCGAGGCCAGCCGCGGCGAGCGCCCCTTGGAGGTTCTTCATGGCCGGTAGGATGGTCTTCTGGCCGTCGCTGTCCATGACCTCGTTGCCGACTGCGATGTAGCGGAAGGAGACGCCCGGGTAGGGCTGGACGTTGGCCTTGACCCAGGCGGCCGCGGCGGAAGGGTCATTGGCGAGGCCGGGGAGCGCGCCGTTGCCGACGTCCATGAGGAGTCCGATGCCCGTGCCGCTGAGCGCCTTGAGGACGTTGCTCTCTGGCGCGTAGATCCGCATGGCGTTGATGCCCTTGGATTTGTAGAGCTTAACCACGTCGCTGGGCGCCGGCAGGTTGTTGCCGATCACGCCGTTGCAGACGCCGATGGAATGCACCCCTGTTATTACGATCGAACAGTCCAAGAAAAAAAATCAGTTTCGTTGCGTGTCATGGTAGAGAATGTGATCTCTCGATCGAATAGGATCAACCAGAAAACTAGTTCCTGGAATACATGTTTAGTTATCAGGATGAGTTAGCGAACCTTTCGTATGTCCGTCGGGGTTAGCTGCCCGGTGAGCACTGCACTCTTTTATGCAAAATATCGTGCATTAAATAATTTTGCATGTACAGTCATAACAAAATGTGTTGATGTAGATGCATCTTAATCATAGATATACGATATAATAATTATACCTGTATGAAATGCTGCCAAGGAGACAAGGACCAGCGCCACTGCAAGCATGGAACCAACACCTTGCTTCGCCATCGATCGTGGATTGTTCTCTAGGATATCTGGCTGTATTTGCATGCAACGAATGCAGTGTATGTATACCAGGCACACTACTCGTCTCTTTATATGCAACTTCTCAGCACTACTGTCCAGCAGTTTGGCGCAATACACGTTCGGGCGTTCGTTCGGGGTCGATCGAGTCCACCATGAGCTTCTTTATTTCTTATCCGTTTCCATTTTCCACCACTAGCAGAGCACCCACTGTAGTACGTGCCAAGTGCCAAGTGCTACTTGTATGACACCGGCCGCCGGCGCAAGTGCATGCCCAACTTGTTCGCTGGACCGTGGAAAACCGGTTGAACGGATGTCACCATCCGGCCCGGGGTTGCTTGCCAGCCATATTGATCATACGCGCGTCTCGGTGATTGACTCGTGATCGGGTCATCGGCGTGCCCGTGCCGGTCCCTTGCATAGCTTCAATATGTATATACAGAGAGAGCCGCGCCATGACTAGCTTGTCTGGCTCGTGGAATTTCCACGGCGTGCTGACCGCTGACCAGCCCTTCTCACGGCCGGGCTGATGGTGGCCTCGACAGTGCGCGCTTTGTTGCTTCCCGCCACTAGCGAAGCTACTTGTTGTCTCTTGTATGGCAATGGTAGGATATGGGTAGGGTAGAGCAATACTATATCCATATTCGTATAGTTAATAGATACAAAATTCTATCTATACATGTGTTCACGAGTATGAAACTTTACCTATATCCATATCCGACGGGTACCCGTAACTATTGGGCAACCAGCGGGTAGAACATATAGTACACAAGTTGTTCATAATTTTGCACTCATTGATAGCACATTTGAAGAAAAAAATCAATATCTCAGCTCAATAACAGGTAGATGAGTACATGGCCACCATAAAAACTAGACAATGCCCCACGCGTTGCTGCGGGATTTTTCGATGACTTGTTTGACATATGATGGTTGAAGAATATTAAGGTCCAGTTTCATATGACAATGACTGTACATCAGAGTCCTGGAAATTCATAACATATTTGGTATTCATGATACCTGAAAGTATTAATTTTCTAAAAGAACATGAAAATATGATGCTACGCGTCTCGGCGTCTGCCTACTATGGTCGGCCAAATATTCATAGATCTAGCAACGTATGTAGAGCTTATCTCACATCCATGGAATTATATTTGTTCAATACTGATAAGTGCTCCACTCACAACTCACAGTTTTTGATAAGAATGTACAGAGACAGAGGTAACTGAATGAATAATTAAAAAATGTGTGATTTTCTTCTACCATTGCTCGGTTCCTTCTGCAGTTTGGGATTTCGCCTTGCGCTTTTGTAGTTTCCCAGCTGATCTCGCTCCTTCTCTGCTGACTAACAACGTGGAGGACTGAGGGGCCGATTGCCATTTTAGCGACCTCGCAAAAAAGACTTACATGCTTTGGTTATGCTACTTTGGTGCCACCTGAGGAATGAAAAGAAACGGGAGGATCTTTAGTTCCACAGAGATGTGGATGGCTGGCCTCCACAACTTAAAGCATATGGCATTACATACAAAATTTCTTTCATCCACTCTTCTAATTTGTAAATATTCTTCATGCCTCCAATCTTCCATTTTATACTTCCTTTGTAATGAATTGTCTTCTTAATCAATGCAAGAAATATCATTGCCTTTGTTAAAGAATCTTAAGCTGCTACGCATGAGAACCAGGAGAATATGCTCGTCAACACCGGAAGCAAGCGCGTGTTTTGCTATTCTGCATACTCTCAACAATCAATGGAATAATGGATGGAGAAAACAAACAAATCATGAGGCGGACCTTTGGGGTTGACGGGGAGCAACAGTGGCACCTGCAGCTGCTACACCCGCAGAGTTGCCGGTAAATTCTCCGGCCAACGTTGCAACCACACAACGATGATGCAGATTGACACCGCTGTCTAGAGTAGATATTTGCCGACGCAGACTGGGAAGTGGAGGAAGACGTGAGGGGACCTGCAGCTATAAAGTACGGGACGGGGAAGGGTAATGAACCGCCAGCCGTTCGCCGCTTGATTACCTCGTTAGTTAATCTTGTACGTGTGGGATAGTGGAAGATTGAAATGGCAGCCATAATGGCTGGTAGCATGAAGAAGGAAGGAAGCAATGTGTTGTGAACCCTCCAGCTTCGGGGACAAAGCTAACCAGATGTGCGATAAGCTTCGAAAAAAAGTCCTAAGCGTGGAGAAGAAATTAATGTGGTGAGGCGGTGGAAAAACTTAAGAGAGGCTTGAGCGTTTTTTTATTTGATGGAGGGAGAGGGTGACTGGAAACGCTTGGATGATGTGGCTGCATGGCTGAGTTGAGTAGCTGCATGTTAAGAGAATTTGCAAACTGGATGATGATGTGGCATGATGATGATGTGCCATGATGATGATGTGGACAGTGTGCATGTTAAGAGAATTGATAGAAGTAGGGAGCAACTTCTTAAGAATGTTAGATTTAGATACTCATAAGTCAATAGGAGTAGCCGAGTCACATGACAAACTAATGATTAATTAACGACAACTTAACATTAGTTAACAAGCGGGTAGGGTATGGGTATATCCGCGCGTACAAGGTTATACATGTACCCTACCCATGACTTAACGGGTAGGGTATGGTTATACAAGAGTTGTATTCAATTACCACACAAGGTAGGTGATTGACAATTGGGTGCTCCAGGAGTCCCTCGTCGTAAGCCTTATTGAGAAGATGTTGTAGCACGTTTGCGACAATGATAAACAGAAAGGGGAGAGAGGGTCTCCCTGGCGTAGCCCCCTGCAGCATTGAATCCATGACGCAGACTTCAAATTAAGAAGAACAGCTGACTTTGTAGAGGTGTTAAGGCATGAAACCAATCCAACCCTCTTCGAGGGAAACCTTTTGCGCAACACTTGAGATAGAGCCTCCCAATAAATAGAATCAAAAGCTTTGCGGAAAAAATAAAGTCATCCACTCTTCCTTCATGTGATGTTATTATTTGTCTTTAAGAGACCAAGCTTGAACATGTCTTAGCGTTTAAAGCTTCCTCTTTGCTACCTCCTAATGTCAAAATTTTCTATTTCTTCCATCTATTGGTGCCTCAGGAGGACCATGATTGCTTCGGATAGCAGTGATGTTAAGTGTACTAATGTTAATTTGGATTTGGTTTCTATATCTTGCTAGTTCCAGTCTACTATCTCAAACGTCACTTTCGCTATCATGAACGTCTACGGCTCTCAAAACAGGCTCGCGCCCCGCTTTATAGATAAAGCAACAAACAAACTGCACGGCCGAACGATACAAAGTGGAGAGGTAGCCCTCTAGCACAGCTGATCCTGGGACAGCTGGGGCGCGACTACACTACCAAATGAGAACATGGGGAAGTCAGAGTACAACGCCACACCACGCCCTAGCACACCTAGTCTCCACGACAATGCCCTCAAGAGGGAGAACGGCGCCGAGCGTCGCCGGTGCCGAGTTCGAATCGAACATGGGTCTTCACCCGGAGCCTTGGCATGGACAAGAGAACCTCAATGACGTCTTCAAGAAGATAGCGGCGCCTGCTAAGCATCGGCGGCGGCGGCGCCAAAGCATAGAGCTTTCGCTCGTCAGTTCACCCGTGTCATCATGATGAAGCCAGACCATGCATGTCGAGTTTCAACTCCCAGATCTAGATCTGGACAATGCCTATGCCAATGACATGAAATGTGCCCGAGCCACCAACCGCTACCCCTTGCTGCCCACACGACCAAAAGGGTAAGCCACCACCGCCGCTGAGGCCTGCCGGAGAGCCAACTAGAGGGACCACCATCCAGGGCCGCCACCCTGGCATCCCTGCCCTAGGACATCGCCGCCCGACCACCTCACGACACACCAACCACAGCAGGGAGAGTAAAAGGCCTGCTTCCACTCGTAGCCCTGCATCAGTCTCTGGATCTGGTCCACACCTCCACAGTAGGAGGCATCAACACCTGCATCCCTAGCTAGTCCCGGTGAACCGTGGGGACACGATCCTAAGACTGCCAACAGCCGCCGTGTAGGCCTTGGAGAGCCAGCACAACGGTCTGTGGCCATCGGTGACGATCCGTAGGTTGGGGAGGCTTCGTCAGGACCACCACCACTGCCCATCGTATCCGTGAAGACACTCCTCACGGGCACATACCGGGCTGAGCCCGGCCTCACCTACCCGAGGAACAAGCCCCGATCTACCTCGGGCCTAGATCTGACCTGCCCGAGCACAAACCCTAGGAAGAAGATGTCATTGCCGCGCGCGCAGCCACACCAGCCCCGCATGCCGTCGGCACTGACCAAGGAGAAGGGAAGCCACCACGCCACCACCTGGACCACAGCCATGACGTAGCCGTCGCCACCACTAGCCCGCACCACCCCCATCCCAACCCGTCGCGGCCCATGAGCCGACCAAGGACATGAAGGGAACCACCACCGCCACGAGCTACTGCTGTCGTCCCCGCAGGTGCAGAGCACCACCAAGACGTGGCCACCACCGCCGAGATCCAGCACAGCAGCCCCCGGCCCATGTCGCTGCGGCCCGCCCCGGCTGTCAGCCAGATCCGGCCGCCGCAGTGCAGACAAGCACACCAGCCACGCAGCCCCTCACGCCGCAACTGCAACCCCGCCTGGCTTCCACACCGGCGAGCCGCCACGCGCGCGGCGCCCTACGCGAGCACCATGCCCAGGCCCAAAAGAACCGGCCCACGCCGCCCCGTTGCGCATGAGGAGGAGGACGCCCCGCCGCCGCCGCCGGTCGGGCTTTGCCAGGCCGCGCCCCTTGGCGGCGTCGAGGGGTGGGAGGAGGGGGCTGTCTCTAGGGGCGGCGGAGATCGAGGGCCCTCCCCGTCGTCTCGCGGGGACGCCGCGGGAGGGGATATGACGACAACGAGACCACTCAGTCTCCGCCTTCTCTTTCGCTATCATGAACGTCTACGGCTCTAGCACTCACACGAATAAAAAATCTTTCCTCAACGAACTCATCGTTTTATCTTCCACCATTATCATACCCTAAACAGTCTTCCGGAATTTTAACCTAACTTTAAAGCG